CCCCCCCCCCCCCCCCCCCCGGCCGGCACCCTGGGGTCGTGCAAGTATCAATGTGCGGTGCGACTGGGGCTCTCGCCCGGGAGTCCTCTCGTGGCTGCCCGGCCCCCATGGCGGGGTCGTCGGCAAATGTCGCGACCACCGAACGACCCCCCTGCCCCCCCCCCCCCCCACGGAGAACCCCCGGGGTCCGGGGGCCAGCTCGAGGCCGACATACGGCGGGCTGGCGCGCATACTGGCGGAGTGTACGTACTCTGATGACCGTTTTGGCGCATCTTCCCCTGGCGCGGAGGAGCCCGCCCCGGCGTCGATCGCCCTCGCCCCGGCGCCGCGCCTCGCCCGGTCGCGATTGCCGGAGCCCCGCTCGCGCGACTCGCCTCGCCTGCCAGGACCCAAAGAGCCACCCCGATACACCTGGCCGCCGTTCTGCCGCCAGCCCCGCTGCAGTCCCCCCCCCCCCCCCCCCCCCCCGCCCTCTCGCCCTCCTTCATCCGCCAGTACATGCCCCCGCCCGCTTTTACCCCGCCCGCCTTGCCCTTGCTTGCTTTTGCTCTTGCCCTCCCCATGGCCGCTGTTCTGTTCTGCTCCATTATGTCGCCTTTCCTCGCGCCTCTCGTCCATTCCGCCCTCATGCCTCGACCCGATCTCTCCTCCCCTCATCCCCCGCCCCTCATCCCCCGCCCCCTCGTCCCCCGCCCCCTCATCCCCCGTCCCACACACCTCCCCTTCTCACACACCTCCCCTTCTCACACCTCGCTCCCGACCACCACCCTGGCCTCGATAGAGCCACGATGAAGCGCTTTTTTACCTTCCGCCGTAAAAAGGACAAGTCCAAGAGCGTCGAGGTCGATCGCGACGCCTTCAACGCCCCGGCGGCCACCGGGGCCGGCGGCTCGCCCACCTCCGCTCCGGCCACCGCGCCTCAAACCCCCACCACGCCAACCAGTGGCCACGGCAATGAGACCATCCTGCCGCCGGCTTCCGCCGACCACACGCTCCTCCCTCCGGCCGGTGGTGCGGCCCACTCCGCCAACCAGGACACCCTCCTGCCGCCGGCCGGCGCCCCGGGTGGTGGCTACCAACAGCACCCACCGCCCCATGGCCAGCAGCAGCAGCAGCAGCAGCAGCAGCAGCAGCAGTACCACCACCACCAGCAGCAGCAGCAGCAGCAGCAGTACCACCACCACCAGCAGCAGCAGCAGCACCACGCGGCCGGCAACAACCCCTACGCTATGAACAACGGCCACACGCTGGTCGGCGCGCAGCAGGGCGACGCATCGTATGCCAACCCGGCGGCCGGTGTCAACTCGACGCTCGTTTCCCCGCACGGCGGTGTCACCTACCACGCGCACCCGGGCAATGTCAACATGACCCTGGTCGGTGGCCCGGGCGTGCCGGGCGGCGGCATGCCGATGGACTCGCATGCCACGCTGATTGGCGGCCCGCCGGCGCCTGGCTGCGATCCCAACTCCACTCTCATTGCCGGCGGGGGCCCCGCTCCGGGGATGATGATGGCCGGCCGGCCGGCCCCGGCCCCGGTGCTGGTCCCGCACCTGCGCCTGCTCCCCTCGAGCGAGTACTACCCGGTGCTGGACATCGACGTCACGCGCACCATCAAGCTCGGCCGCACGGACCCCAACAACACGGACCCGGACTTCGTGCCCTTCAACAGCAAGGTCATCTCTCGCCGCCATGCGGAGATCTGGGTCGTCAACAACGAGTTCTACATCCGCGACACCAAGTCCCAGTCCGGCACCTTCCTCAATGGCACTCGCCTCAGTCTCCCGGGCGAGGAGTCTCGTCCGTGGAAGCTCAAGAACAACGACGTCATCCAGCTTGGTGTCGATCGTCGTGGGACCACCACCGGTGCGTGCCGCCCTTCTTTTTTTTTTCTTCTTGCCTCTCCCGGGGGGGGGGGGCCCCTTTCGCTCGCACGCTCTCCCTCCCTCCCTCCCCCCCTTCCTTCGCCCTCATCGAATTGGCCTACAACACTCCCCTCTCCTCCCGCGCCCCGGTTTTCTGACACTCTCCACATCCGGTAGACTCGTTGCGCTGCTTCTACGCCTCGGTCGAGCTCTCCTTCCGCAATACGGCTGCCGATGCCGGCGCGCCGGTTGTCCACCCTGGCATGTACGCCATGCCGATGGCCCAGCCGCACGCGCCCGATCCCAATGCCACTCTCATTGCTTGAGAAGGGGGCCGGAGCATGCCGCCGTTCCTGCCAGCCATTTTTGTGCATGTGTGTCTGTATGCGCATGTGCATGCGCGTGCGCTTTCTCCCTCTCACTGTGCGCGCGCTCGCACCCCCCCCCTCTCTCCCCCCTGTCTATCTCTCCTGCACTGTGTCGCTTTCTCTCTTCCCCTCTTCCCGTCCTTGTCAGCGCTCCTTCTCTCCTCTTGCGCGCCCACATGCCATACACATACACACACACACACACACACACACACATAGCATGTATGTCCGCGCACGGGCCGGGACACGCATGTCCAAAAGTGCCTTTGGTGAGCATGCCTTTTGCTGCCACCATGACAAGGAGGAGCGGCGGTGTGTAGAGCAAGTGGATTTCTCGCCTTGAGTCTTTGCCGAGCCGTCGAGAAACGCAAACGTACACACAGCCGCAGGGTCCCCTCCCCGTGGAAGGGCGTGGTGGGGAGGGGGGGGGGGGGGGGCAAAGCATGGGAGCAAATCAAACACCCATGCCTCTGCACCAGTTTCCGGATCCCCGCAATCGTCGGGGCCCACGCGCGCCGGTCCCCCTTGTGTACGGCGGCGGGCGTCTCTCGGGCGCGAACAGCCGGCCGCATAGCCCGCCTGTGTCGGATCCCCGCTCCGTCCACCTGGTCCCGGCTCGCCTTTTCTTGCGCGAGCCGAAAAAACGGACGCCCAGGCGGCGGCAGTTCTCCTCGCCGGCTCAGGGAGCGCGCGCGCGCGCGTGAACGACTCATCACATGCCCAGACACACCAGCCCGGGTTACGCCCGGGGCTTGTGCTCTCCGTGCGGGATGTTATCTTGCCCGGAGCTTCCAGCCGGTCGGCGCGTGCGCATGCGCGGGCACGGGTGCCGCGCGAGAGAGAGACGGGGACCTACACTCGCCCACCGCCCGCCCCCCCCCCCCCCAGGGCGGCCGGAGCACACGGGCTGAGAGGCCACCCTGCCTGTGCCCCCGCCCCCCGCGCCGCCCCCCTCTCGTCAGGGGGCCGAGGCGGGTTTGTGTCGGGACGCGGTCACAGGTCGGGTGCGTGCGTTCGGCCGGGGCTGGCCGGTGCGCGGCCCCCCTCGTCAGCGTCCCTGCCTCCCCGGGGCACCCCTTCTGCCGCGAGGAACGTGTCTGCCAAGTCGGAGGGGGGGGGGGGGGGGGGCGGGGGCGGGGCCATGCGATGTCAGGACAGACGGGGTGGGGGCCATTTGAGCGTCGGCGTGCCGTGACACGGTGGGGCGTGTCTTTCGCTGCTTGGCCGGCTTCCCTATCTCCCCCTCTCTCAGGTTCTCGAGCCTCGCGTGTTTCCGCGTCCACGGGCGTTTGTGAGTGTATCCTTGTGTTGTCGGCCGAGAACGACGGTCAGCCAAGCGACCGTCTGGTGGCGCGGCCAGTGTACGCGAACATGCGTGTCCCCATGTGCTGTGGGAGGCGGCCTTCAACCACCTCACAACACGGCGGGCGGTCCCCTTCCCCTGAGAGGGGGCCACCGGGCGTGGCTGAGGACGCCCGAGCAAGCGCTGGCGAGTCATGACCGGGCGCGAGAGGGACAACGCGAGACGCGGCTCTCCTGACCCCCTTGCTCATCGTCTCCTGGAGAACGTGGGCCGTGGATAGGGGGTCTCTGTCTCTGTCTCTGTCTTTGTTTGTGTCTCTCGCTCTCTCTCTCGCTCTCTCTCTCTCTCTCTCACCGTCCCTCTCTTTGTCCGCCCCTCGACCCTTCGCTGGCGCTGCCTGTCTTACCGGCGCGAAGCCGCGCGTTTCAGGCCGGCTGCTCTCCAAACTCCCCGACCCGATAGTCGGCAGCTGATCGACCAATTCGCTGGGGGGTAGGGTCTAGGCCCGCTGGGCGATCGGGCATGCAGCCGGCGCCCGGCCCCCCCCCCCCCCCCCTGCCTGTGTGTGGGACTGTGCGCGCGCATGTGTGCAGGGGCGTGTGCTCGCCGGGCTGTGTGCGTGTGCGCGTCCTCTGTCGGGCGGGTGCGCTTTCGATCTGCCCGTGTGACAGACAAGTTCGCCGGGGGAGGACTGTCGTGATGTGCGTGCGTGTGCACGTCAGCGTGAGACCGCAGGCGTACTTCTGCTCGGCTGCCTCCCCGGGCCAAGTGCAGGCCCTCGCATCATGCCTCTCCCCTGCGAGGGTGCGTGTGGGTGGAGGGGGATGGCTTCCACTCTCTGGCGCCGCTTGTCGCGCAACTCGCTACGCTCGCCGGACCGCCGAGGGAGCGGAGCATCGAAGGGGATGCACACCGCCAGGTCAGGACATGCCGGGAGTAGACCAAACCTCTTGCCCCGCCCTGCCTCGCCCGAATCGCTCGTCGGGTATGACACCCTGCGCCTGTTCTTGCCCTTGTCCCCGTCCTCCCTCCCTGCGTGCCTGTTGTCTCCTCGTCTGACCCCCCTGCCCCCTCCCCCTTCGCCCGTCCCGAAGCTCAAACGATACACCCTCCCACCATGCTCTCTCGCACCGTCTCCAACGTTGCCCGCCAGGCGACCCGCGTCCGGTACATCCTCCCCCCCCTCCCTCCCCTGCCTTGCCGGCCCCAGTGGCTTCCTCTTGCATCTTCTCGCACTCCTGCCACCACCCCCTGTCGGTGTCGGCCGTCTGTCTTCTCACCGTCACAACCACCACCGCCACCGCCACCGCCACCGCCACCGCCACCGCCACCGCCACCGCCACCGCCACCGCCACCGCCACCGCCACCACCCCAGCGCCTTCTCCTCGCAGGCCGCCGCCGTGAGCCCCGCCTCGCAGAAGTACATCGACCTCGAGGACCGCTATGGCGCCCACAACTACTCCCCCCTCCCGGTGGTCCTTTCCCGCGGCGAGGGCGTCTACATGTGGGACGTCGATGGCAAGAAGTACTACGACTTCCTGGCGGCCTACTCGGCCGTCAACCAGGGCCATTGCCACCCGCGCATCCTCGAGGCCATGACCGCCCAGGCCGGCCGCCTGGCTCTCACCTCGCGCGCCTTCTACAACGATGTCCTCGGCGAGTATGAGCGCTATGCCTGCGAGCTTTTCGGCTACGACCGCCTGCTGCCCATGAACACCGGTGTCGAGGGCGGCGAGACTGCCATCAAGCTGGCCCGCAAGTGGGGCTACATGGTCAAGAAGATCCCCGAGGACCAGGCCGTGGTCATCTTCGCCAAGAACAACTTCTGGGGCCGGACCCTGGCGGCTGTCAGTGCCTCCAACGACCCGCTCTCCTTCAAGAACTACGGGCCCCTGCTGCCGGGCTTCCGTTCGGTGGACTACGATGATCTGCCCGCGCTCGAGGCCGCCTTCAAGGCCGATCCCAACATCTGCGCCTTTATGGTTGAGCCGATCCAGGTGTGTGCTCTCGCGTGTTCGCCTTCTCCTCCTCCTCCTCCTCCTCCTCCTCCTCCCCCGCGCGCGCCCTGTATGCCCCCCCGACGGAAGGCCGTCTGACTCATGCTTCCTCCTCCTGCCCCCGGCTTGCTCCGTTGCCTCTGCGCATGGTTCCTTGCCTCTCCTGCCCCCCCCCCCCCCGGATATGCTTCCGCTTGCTTGATCTGCCCCGCGCGCGCGTGCGCGATCCCCCGACTCCGACATAGGGCGAGGCCGGTGTCATCCTCCCCACTGACGGCTACCTGAAGGCTGTTCGCGCTCTTTGTGACAAGTACAACGTCCTCTTCATCGCCGATGAGGTCCAGACCGGCCTCTGCCGCACTGGCCGCATGGTACGTACCCTACCCTAC